GGAAAACTTTCGATTTCTAATAAAGCACTCTGACTGGGGCAGTTTCTTTACCAGTAATAACCTCTTAGAAACATTAGAAATATTCAATATCACCACCAAATCTGCACTAGACACTACTATACCCTCTAAAATTGGTTTTAAAACAATTACTCCCTATATCGACCAAAAGACTAGGTCTAAACTGCGAAAACTGAAAAAAGTACTATATATCAAAAGACTTCAGTGCTCTGCACCAGACATACTCTGTACTTGACGGAGTACCTCGACCAATAACCAGCGGTGTTGTGCAGGGTAGTGTCTTGGGTCCATTGCTCTTCATAATCTACATCAACAATATATGCAAGTGCTTTAGAACTGGTAAGACCTACCTCGATGCCGATGACTCAAAAGTCATCTATAAAACTGACACTTGCGATGTACGTAGTACTATGCAAGCAATCCAACACGAACTCAACATGGCAGACGACTGGTGCAAACGCTGGAGGTCAGAGCTCAACACAGGGAAATGGGGCCGGTTATGTATAGGAGACACGTTTATCAAAATAAACCAACACTTAACCATGACACCCTGCCCAAACTGGCAACTCTAACCGACCTAGGGGTACATTACCCACACAGTCTTAATTTCTCTGAACATATCTCAGCCAAAGCATCCAAAATGCCGAAATTGCTTGGCTTCATTCTCCGTAATTTCTATCAAAATGAATCTAAAATCCTTCTTTACAAAGTTTGTGTAAGACCTATCGTTGAATACTGCTAGTTCTTATTTTCCAACCTACGTCTATCTGATATACTAAAGGTGGAAGGAATACAACGAGACTTCACCCGCAAAGTACTTAAGACTGACTCGGTCATTGACTACAGTTCTCGATGCCAAATCTTAGGAATAGCACCCCTTTGGGAGAGAAGGCTTAGGTCTAATTTGATTCTCTACTTCAAACTACTCAAAAACCTTACTTACTCAACATGTCAGATAATTCTTGCCCGAGATTCACATGAATACGGACTTCGAAACAAAGTATCTACGGTCAAAGTTGAGAAATACAGATCAAAAACTCGGGAAGACTTCTTCCTCACCAAGTATGCAATAATATGGAACAGTCTTCCCTCCGAAACTCGCATGGCAGATGAATTACATACGTTTGTAAAGCTGCTTGATCAAGCTCTCACTTGCACTGATCTTACACGTACGAACGCATCTGCCCCCCGCTCAGACATCATAGGCTCTCTCCATGTCCAGACCAAAATGGACTTCAAGTTCAGTTTGCCTTATTTTTCCTACTTTGCAGTTGTATTAATTACTTTTTCCACCCCATTTCTTCACTTGAAGTAGACAGGTAACTCACTGGACCTATCATTACTGTTAAACTAAACTCGGTCGATAAGGGACACTCACTACCACCCTAAAAAGTCGAGGACCGCACAATCGGCTGCCTACTACCAGTGGTCTTGCATCTATGGAACCTGTTACCAATCAACTGGTTAAGACAACAGAAAATAACATCAGCACCAAGTTACTGTGAGTTCCTTCCTGTTTATCCTGTATTAACTTTTTACTCTTCTGTACACTATGTTGACTAGCAATTAATATTATTTCTCCACTCGTTCCCTTATCCACAACTCATATACTTCTATACTTTTCCGCCTGCTTAAATAAACAACTATCCTACAATATACCCTTCTTAACGCTTATACTCTGATTGGCAAACTATACTTTATACTATAGAAAACAGAGGCACTGCATCGATGCTTTACCCACAGTCCATAGCTTGTAACTGCCTGATAAGCTTGTAAAATGGTACTTATAGAAATAGTGCTTTCCAACAGGTTGTGAAACAGAGGATTGTGTGAGGTATGACGTATATACAAAAATAAGCCTAAATGAGCCTAACATCACAAAAGGAGGGAGGGTGGAGTTACTGACCAGCAAGCATTGATGGTGAGGGCGATAACTTCAATCCACCCGTGTTTGTGGGGACAGAACATTTTGTATGTATCAGGCTCCTCATGATTGAGAATAAGTCAATCAATCTGTGATATAGATTGTCTTCCTACGCTCACCACTCAGACTCATGTTTCCAATATTATGCTGGATTAGCTATTCTACTAAGACAACCTATAACATGCTAACTCGGACTTTTACACTAGGATCGTGTGGCCGGCATTGGATAGACAAAAAAGGAGAAAAAATTAGATAACAAAAGATATAGTCACTAGTATTCTTAACACTTCACCCCCTATATACACACCCTTGTAGTGTCAGTCATTATTTTAAGCCCATATACCCTATTCTAGTTTTTGGACAAACCATTCTATTCATTCTACTTGAGTCATATTTTGACCTTGTCAATTATTCGCTTATCAGTCTTGACTGTTTTATATGAGCGTATATGTGTGTACACTTCATATCCCATGACTCATCACATGTCTGTAGTTTATTTTTGTCGGACTATAAATATTGAGTAACGCTTGACTAAAATGAAGTTGGCTTCCCAGCCATCTTTCCTGCGTGTAATTTTGCTTTGCTCTGTTTCATTCGCTTCATATGTATGCACAGGTCGATTCTCGTTATTTGACTTATTTAATTCCGTTATTGACTAACGCGATTTAAGTCGACGATTATATACGAGGATAGGTGACAACAATCATTCGTACGCTCTAAAATGGAATCAGATCAAACGGGCCGCCAAACCCTTCTAATAAACTGCTTTCTTTGTACCAACATTGACTTCCCTTCATGTGAGCTTACTACAACTTGTTAAACGACACAACTCATTGTTCTTTATTAATACATTCTCTAATATGGAGCCTCTGACTTCATTTCACTCTAACAAGAGATAAAATGAATCTATTATAATTTATTATACCTCTGTCCGTTCTACTACACAGTCTTAAGCAACGTTTGGCGTTCATATCCAAGTGCCTAGCTGCTCTTCTGTTTCTCCTTTTTTCTTCTACAGAAATTTGCTCTGAGGGCACGGCTAAGAGACTTCTGACGTCTGGAACGAACTTGACGTACGCGTCTCCTCAAGGTCACGGTTTATAGCAAGCGCTCTACGAGTATAATTTATAACAACTATAAACTTATTAAGTTGGGAAACATTTTGTGAACCAACAAATGTTGTAATTTATAGATCATGACTGTAAAAATGGCGTGTACCTGCACATGCAGAAATATATTATTATTATCCGTGGTGGCTCGCGAGAAAGCAGAACTAACAACAAAACGTGGTTGATAAAACCCATTATTTTGCAATGAAAGAGGCTAAGCTAAGCCTATTATCAGGCAGAACGGAAACTAATCAATGGAGGAACTTTAAATAAATCATAAATACTAAACACAGTGTGTGAAGGATTGTAACAGGGAAACAGACCCCAGACAATGAAAGGTTGAGGAGCAAAGTGGGATTGATGTCCATTGACTTTGAAAAAATGAACAGCAGCGCGAATTGTTTAGCTCCCAATATTACTTTATAACCAGAGATTTTGTTTATTTATTATTCCTTTTTATCGTTGTTATCGAATATCAACCATTAAGACTGAGACCAAGCGTTCGAAAATTCATGTGATAGGTCAACTTGGTAAAACAGAGAGAACAATATAAGATCGAAAACATGAGCACAAGAAGCAGCAAACATGGGAGAACGGCCTCAATATTATTGCATGGTTGCCTCATTACCAACCATAGTATTTGGAGATCCAAAATTAACCCACTGTAGACACTAACCCCAATGCTGGGGTTAGTCGGGTGATCACTCCATTCCCGTCTAACTAGCGGGGACCACCAATCATCCATCAAAGATCAACTCAGTTGGAGATTAGCCTAAAGAGATTAGTCTTCAAATGCTATCAAAAGTAAATGCTGTTCAAATGGAAGCTTCTGTATTTGTTAAATGTAGATCTTGTACGAGATGTCGCGTTAGCTTGAGACAGCTGAAAAAACTGCTAGGAATGGAAGTGCTTGTGAATACATTGTTTCTGAAGTTCACAAAACATTCAGTTCGGTGCCACAAAACATTCAGTTCGGTGCCACAAAACTTCCTATTAGCTAAGATGTAGGGAGTGTGATTTACAGATCCTTTTCTTTCCCTGCTAAAAGGTTTCACAAGACAGAAGGTTCTACTCCAAAATGGATACAGTGCAATTAAACTGGAGATCGTCAGTTGTGCATCATGAAGATACATGTAATCCATATGGTTTCTCATATTTATCAATGACCTCTCAGATAATCTAGCCTCATAATTCCAGTCCTGTACAAATTACATTAAACTATGGAGAGCTACCAGAAGTGAAGATGAACAACGTGAGCTTCAAGGAGAATAAATGCCTTTACATGGGTGGACATGAAATGACAATATCTCATCACTATACTTTCTTGCCTTGTGCTAATAGTTCTCAAGTCCGACTTCTTAGTGTTTGTGACTTCCAAAATACATACGTTTGGAACGGTCAGTGTCTAGGTTCATGCAGTCATACAGTTAGTAAGCCAACAACTGCTCAATCAGTATTCAAAGAAAGGGCAACAAGCAAATGTTATCCTATCCCTTCTGTACAGGTCACGTACAGATTGTCCCTAATGGTAATATATAATTCACTATAGCATATAGTGTCTCCGATTCTGGAAGTGTGTTTTATTTCATAATCCAAAACGTACAATTACAGTCAATGCAAACAACATAATCATGAACGGGAGCTAATTAATATGTCGCCGGCCATGACTAAATATCGACCTACACAATATAGATGCAATTCAAGAAAATCATGGGGATTCACTAAAGAGGTGAGGAAAACAAAAGCTGAAGTAAAGTACAAATAGTACCAACTCAAAAGAAATTAAGACATCAACAAAATGTACATCTGGAGGACGAAGAGGAATAAATCAGTACAGTGTGTATGTAAAAGGATTTTCATACACAAAACTTTCAAATACGATCTTAAAGTGTTGAGCATGCTCTTTTTTCTCTTGTACTAACCGATGTTTCAATGTTAATCGTGGCGTTAAAAATAAAAAGGTACTTTTAGTTACCGATTATCTAGTGGTTCGAATTGATTTGACTCTGCTCAGTAATGATAAACAACAAGGACTGATGAAGATTTGAAGGCAAGGATCGGCGTAGCAAGCAAGAATATCTGGAACTAAAACAAGTCGATCAACATCAAACTCAGAATCTTCCAAATAGTCCTAACGTACAACGCTGAAACTTGAAGAACTACTAAAACCATCCTCAAAAAGTACTGGTATTTATAAACAAATGTCTGTGCAAGATACTCAGCAGCAGCCTACTGTGGTAGAGCGAACAGGCTTTGAACTGAATGATAAATTAGAAAAAGGCACTGGATGTAGATATGACATTCTTCGCGGAAATAATCAAAAGGCCTCACAAGAAAAGCTCTAACTGAATAGAGGGCAGATATTATGAGAACGAATGGCAACTGGAAAGAATTACCTCGTTCATCATCTTTATTCTGCATTTACTGGTGCTAAATGTACGTATTAGTACTAACTGACCAAACTTTTGTACTTGGATGAAGCGCGATTTCTGGGTTGCCGTTCTTGTGGTGATATTGTATCGGTCAACAGACAACACAAATAACTATACACGCTTCGTCTGATTGGGACAATTACCACTAATCGTCTATCTGGATAATCAAGATAATTCTTATGCCTTTTCTCTGCTATGCCTGCCTAACAGAAAACCACAGTTGTGGTCCTCGAATTCTGGAGACTTTATTCGGATTTGATAATTGGATTGTATCTGTTGCCAGCGTATGTATAAAAACAAATAGATCTCAATATTGCAGAACCACATAAAAGATTAAAAAAACCTGTTTCCTTTCTCCCACGATGTAAAGTACTTTGTAAGAAAACAGTAATCCAGGTCCCCACTTAAGCTATGGTATGTGTAAAACTGCGACCCCTTTATATACCCGCCTATTACTAATCACAACCGTATTACGTCAAGCTGCACCCACCTAGTTCTACCTGTCTTGAATAGCACCACTTCGGAAATTCTTAGCTAGCGCATAAATTTGAATACTTACAACTATAATAATATCCGAATCCAACTGTTTTATTTGTTCAAATCTACTTGAGAAGCCTTAACACTTGAAGGCGTGCTACGTCTCATTTTAAAGATTATCGCCAATAAACATAAGAACAGGAGTAGCCCAAAGATAGGATATTATCGTTCTTCAATGGAGACTACCAACTAGTCTAATGGCTCAAACATTATAATCTTCCCACAAACCGCTCATTTAGTTCAATATCCACCAGTCCCAATTTCAAGTCCAGAGGTTTATATCTCTCATGAACCCATTAGTGTGCCGCGCCCCAACATGCCAGATGACATTGAAGCTTAATATGAAATCCCAAATGGAGACATTACTCGCATCTGCAGAACTTATCGACCTTTGAAGAAAGATACCTAACCGTATTCTCATCCCAGTGTGTGACTGACTGTCTCACATCTAATATAATTCTACTCAGGAATCAAGACTTAGTGAAGTGGGTCTTTGTGATGTCTTAACGTTGTGTCGATTTGGTGCGATTAATCAATAAACTAAGCCATGAGACCGTAGTATCATTATTCATGGATGAACTATGTGTTTAAGAGAGGACCTCAGAAAATTGACACATCCTAATCATTATAAGCCTCCGTGGACTGATTGTCTCTCGGTGTAGGGAGTCGTATTCACTTACGACAAAGTCACTGTTAGTGACGTTTTGGGAAAAATTAATTTTATTTTTAAGGAAAGAATCTGCACTTTCCTGAAACGAGAGGTTAGATGCACAAACTTTGGTTGGCTTAACCTACTGAAAGTCACATACTTAGAATCATAGATAAGGAAGAATAAATCCAGCAAGTGTATTTTTACTAAGGTAAAATATCCTACTCCTTAGATGATTATAGTCTCCAGAGCTATTATTCATATGCTTTGGAACGACGCTAATTCTATACAAGATAGTCACAAATAAAATCTGGGAGCTCGAAGCTAGTAGACTGTTAATCACTGGTAGACAGCCTTAGTGATACAATATGAGATTGATGACATAGCCAAAGACAATTTATGAAGACTCCTCCCCTCCTAAATAACACTATTTGGAATGTAATTTAACTGCACTATTGCCTTAGCTAAACTACTGCATAGCACGTAGAAACCGGATCGACCAATAGATATGCAGACTCGAGTGCCGGAAAAAACGAAGTCCAGGGGACCCAATAACAGTTATTTTCAGAGAGGAAGACTGATCAATCTAAAATGAAGTAACTGTATTATCAATCTATATGAAAAGATTGTGTTCAACAAACACCAACTACTAAAATACAAGTACGTCTCTAAACATATGAATCTTTAGTTTTGGTTATTTACATACCACGGAAATTGGGCATAATGTTTCAAAAAATGACTAGCAGAATCTAATTCAAGTTACATTAGGACAGCGAGTGAGTTAACCACAACATTCTCCTTCTAGTAACGTTTGTTGCATGTCCACTAACATCTGGGTCACTTTATAAGATTGGTGGTGAGAATGATAATAAACAGTACATCTAAACAAATCTTAGACTGAGATGTTCAGTTCGTGTTAGTCGGATAATTTCATCCCATTCAATCTTTTAAATAAGAGAAAGTAAATAGGAAAGTACGATGGAAGAACAGAACAAGAAAAGAAATTACAAAAGTGAGTAAAGTAACGACAATTAGTACGAACACTGTAGTAATCTACAAAATAGAACAATGATCGTCCTCTGAACTATGGAATGTGACTGCCTAGTCATTCTTAAGCGAGAACTTATCGTTTTTGTGTTTGAAATCGACCTCAAAAGCGCAAACGCGAGGAACCCACCCACGAATTCTGACAGAATCTGTAAAGAAGTAAAAAGAAACCGAAAGTAAGAAAACATTCAATTGTTAACCAAACAGAGTTAAGTTTGAAGCAGTAATAATATTTCTGATCAGAATTCTCTATGTAAATTAAAAAAGTGATAAGTATTACAATAATAGTTAAACTTTTTCTTTGACCTAGGAGCAACCTAGAAGCATCAAGAAAGATGCCCACCGACCAATGATAATGTTAACGAGAGCTATATTTATAGATGACGAAGGAGAATCACTATATTGATTATGTGCTGTTCCATGAACCAAATGAGGGAAAATTACGTGTCAATGTTATTATTATCTAATCTATTACGCAACTAACTGGCAGCATTTCTAAAGAAAGAGGCATATTTACGAATTGAAAACTGTATATTAATGCTAGCAAATTACCTGAAAAATCAGCAGAACAACTTTCAGAAGGGACCAAATGCCCATAAATCCAGTATCTGGTAAATGTAACAAAAGAGAATAATAAATACATCCAATAAATGAATTTACAAACAAAATATCTGTTAAATCCATATACAATGGTCAGTATCCAGAACACTATAAAATAAACTTTCCACCCATATACTTATATAAACAATGCATGTAAAATATCTTCGGTGACACAAAAACTGAAGGAGTTCAATAATAGTAAATTGTGATCATAAAGAAATCCAAAACCAAGCAAATACCTTTCAGAGACTAACCGAAATATGGGTCAAAAGATACAAATATTACAAAGATATCCCTTGATGAGGTAGCTTCTGACTAGGAATTTCGTTAAATGTGCAATAACAGTTCAAGAAAGTTCGAATGAAACAACGAGAGGTAATCGATAGACAAGGCAAACAGCTAAATCAAAATATTGTAATTAGGGTGAAAGCGTTTATAATTACCCAATAATGGGTCGAAATGAAATTTTATTACTATTTAGATTATCTTTGAATGATTTGAACAATCGATCATGAAACGAGAAACAAGTACAATAAGAAAGTTAAAGCTTAACTCTAGTATCAAGGACTCTTTAGGAAAATAAGATGTATATGAAGTACAATAGAAAGGTAAGTGAAATGTACTAATAACTAGACTTGTAAGAATATGTACGTATAATAAGTGAAACACACTGATGACTAGGTGGAGCACACTCAACAAAAACGTGATATACAGAATTTTCGGAAAAAGAGGTTGAAGAAGCACACTTATCATATCAGCAAAGAAAACTACTAATTGGATGTTGGGAACTTATTAACAAAATACATGAAACCACAACAAACGACTTTTAGAGAAAATGTAAAGGCAGTTAAACCAAAGGTCTGCCATATAAGAACGATAGACGCAGCTTTTCAGCTTATAGGAACAAAAATAAACAGATTAAGTTTTGCTATACGTAGCTTAAATGAGGTGTATTAAAACGAAGAAGCACGATGTGAGGTGAGTGAAGCCACATAGATACATATTAGTTTCTAACAAAACGGTCATTCTATTTAGTGAAAAAAATTGCGGTACTAGTAAAACCTACTGAACGTAAAACGTGATATAAATTGATTGTACCACCTGTGTCTTAACATCTGCTTTCACTAAATAAGATATCTAGTATTTAAATTAACAACTCACTGGGTAAATAAAATCGCATAATTACGCATGAAAATAAAGTCAAAACTAACTTGGAAGCACGAAAAGTGTTAGAACAGAAAAACCAACTTCTTAAAAAACTTAGGTTAACAGAAAGATGAATCATCATACCTCGAAATTCTATTTTGTGTATTTCGTTCTCGTACGGAACTACTTAGCATTATGAATTTACAACCACATAGGGGGTTAAGTCCAACTTTTGGATCGAACAGTTCATGTCTAACTTCAATCCATTCTCAATACCAGCAAATAACCTTAAGAGGTAATTCCTGAAGTTATAGTGATGAGCCGTGACCAGGTATAGTTCAACTATGTCGGAGGGCATGAGAAAAAGATCACAAATGGTGACAGATGATGGTCGTGCAATATCGTGAATTGACCAAAGTTAGAAATGCAAACCACTGGATCTCAAACCCAGTGGTCTAGAGGTTCAGCACTCGCTGGGAGATCTGAGAGTCGTGCATTCGATCCCCGGCGGGATCGTAGACACATACTACAGAAGAGTCTCGTTACAGGAGAAAACAGCTGTCTAATGCTTTTCGATTTACAATGTCTGTCTAACTAGGATCAATTCGTATTGTAATCTATGAAATATTTATCACACGGAGTTAAAATATACAAAAAGATTGAAATAAATATAACAAAGTTAACGTAAATTTTAAACTCTTTGATAATCATATGAAAACCATATAGTAAGATTAGGATTACACTTTCTTGAGTCAAGGGAGTGAAGTAGTCGAACGCGTTGACAACTTCACATATCTTGGAAGTCTGATCAGCTCTGATGGGTTGGTATCGGACGAAATCTCAGCATGGATTCGAAAAGCTCGTTTGGCTTTTGCCAACTTACGTCACCTGTGGCGAAGGCGAGATATCAGTCTATCAATAAAAGGACGAGTATACTGCGCGGCAGTCCGTTCTGTTTTAATTTACGGCAGCGAAACATGGCCATTAAGAGTAGACGACACTCGTAAGCTATTAGTATTTGACCAGAGATGCCTTAGAAAAACTGCTCGTATGTGCTAGGTGTTGGGATATTCAGGAAAATATCCCAAAAAAAAATTATCCTGTTAAGGCTAATGCTATCCTTGGACATGAAATGGTATTATCTTATTGGTCAATGTTTATTTAACGTGTCATTTTCCTACTGGCCATTATTGTACAATGTTATTTCCTATTTTATCGTACGATGTGGTCTGCTTGACTGGTATATAAACAAAGTATGTTTGAAATACAATGATTCATATCTCCGAGGCTGTCATTTGTGTTCTGGACTCAACTGGCTGGGTTAGATAGGGAAGCGAGGCCAATCAGAACCCTAGGTCGTTCTACGTGTTTGTGCGTCTTTGGTCCGATCAATAATTCGCTACCCTTAATCAGCAGCATCTTTTTCACGTTATAACACTAGGACCACTGGGTAAGTAATAGTGAGGTTAGACGCAGGGTATTAGGAAATGATGGTAAATCAGTTGATGAGGTTATGAATCTTCATCGACTGAGATGGTTGGGCCACGTGTTACGTATGCCTGAACACCGATTACCACGACGTGCAATGCTATCCGGTATTGGAGATGGTTGGAAGTTAGGGGCGGCCAAACCAAAACGTGGCATCAGTGCTTGAGGTCACTAACTTGTAGTCTGAGCCATGTTGGTAGATGCAGACTACTTGGTTGGGGTCCGCGTGACTATCGTAACCAATGGTTGGAGACTTTGGTGACATGGCTCAGAATCGATCACAATGGCGTCGGTGTATACACTCCCTGTCTTCCCTTAAACTAAGAGATTAAAATCGCTTCATATCTTTCTTTCTACGAACCAATTCTTTCTTGTATTATATCTCTATATGCAATCTTTCTCTTATATATCACCACCTTGACATAACCACCGCTATGAATCCGGTGTTCATCTTGTTATGCTGATGCGGTATGGCAACCTGGACCGATGCACATATGTGCCTGGTCCTACGTTGTAGCTGACTGACTGACTTCTTGAGTCAACAACACCAAATACTAATCAGATGATCTTATGTTTTCAATCTCTCATTCCCATTATCAAAGGACACAAACTGAAGCCTACAGTTTATTATATATTATCTGTTCATAAGTCAACTTGATATAATTACCCTAAGTTCTTCTCTAAACCACGATGATCACACCACACAACAGAAATCCTATATTTAAGAAGAAATAACAATGTGCACTGAATGACGTACTTTGGAAAACGACGACCCAGTTTTTAGCATATATTGGATTACTATTTCGTCATTCAATAAAACAAACCACTGAACAAACTTTATTGAGATAATAAATGAATGCGAATTAGTCTTAAAGTACTAGTTTAGAATGCTCTTACAAAAAAAGATATCACATTTAATGCTCTTCTAATGCAATTTTAGTACGACTTTGAGGAATATACGTAATTTCGAAATTAGATTAATCAATCTAAATACATATTACTGGATTATTATTTGTTTATATGTTGAGCCTCTACAGTTAGTTTTTTTCCACTTCAAACAATATCGAATGCCTTTCGCTTACTTTGTTCCTCTTGTCACCATAAGAGCATCACCAACACGTACAGATATTCTGGGTTCTTCAAAACATGGGGAACGTATAGCAGTTAGACATCCATAACGAAAACACATACACCGACTCCCATCATAATTTTGGGTAATTTTGAATGTGCGCTGAATTTTTTGCTTCAACCTTTTCTGATAGATCTGTTCCAACTGGCAGAATATAACGAAACTATACAAGTAAAACTAAAGCTGAATGTGACACAAGAGCAATTATGAACCATTATTAGTAAATATTATTTGACAAGAATTAAATATTAAAAAACATCCACCATTCAAATTGGTAACCTTAGCTAAAGTAGACTTCTATCTGTTGTGGATGCGGAAGAATAAACCAATAATTATCATGTTAAGTCCAGTGGTGTCCTTGGACTTTAAATGTACATTCCCTATTGGCTATTATTTAATTCATTCGTTACATATTGCGTAAATGTTGTTTACTATTTTTATGGTACGCTGTGGTATGCTTGACTAGTATATAAACAAAGTATGTTTGAAATATAGTGATTCATATCTCCGAGGCTGTGACTTTTGTTCTCCACTCAACTGGGCTAGGACAGACAGCGGGGCAGGGCCAATCAGGGCACTAGGTCGTCCCTTACGTGTTTTCTGTGTCACTCTCACCGAATCGATCAATAAACGCTGCTTATCAAGACCTGCAGTCACATCAGTCATAACACTATCTACAACGACTAATTACTATTTAAATGAAGTTCGTACTGAATATCGGAATAGCTTACTTATCGTTTGAAAATTATAAATACAAAGAATGTAGCAATTTAGCTACCACTGGTTTAATGTATTTAATACTTCAAGTCGATAAAAACATTACAGCATAACTGAATTGAGACAAAAGCTAACTCAAAGAGAAACATACATTTACATTGTAGTAGTAATTATTGGAAAAACTTAACATTTTGGAGTAAATATTGTATAATACGCTTTTTTGCATATTAAGTTTAGTTAAGCAATGCAACGAAATTTTGCGCAGTCAAAACTAACACGAAATTGAGTAGAGAAAAATGCTGTTAGCCTGTTTTCGACAAGTTGTGTCAGCCACTTCGCTGACAACATTTAGGAGCATTTATTTCTATAATATATGCAAATTATTTACATTCTTGTCCTTTACCATTACACCGAGCTAATCAGACACAGCTAGCTAAAGCAAACAATATAACAGAAGTATGCATTGCATTAATGGAAGTGATAAAGTACGAACTAAGTATAAGGGAAGAATAGACTATCTGACATTCACATTGATGTTATTTCGACTTTTTGTGTACTCATATATACACACAGATTGTACGTAATATACATCGCCAATAAAGCCTCAGGACTGGTTCGACCAAACGTTATGACGATTCGCTGATTACCGATTCGAATTACAGACCATAAATAGTTTGGATTACTTTTTTGGTTAGCGTTTTTTTAGCGCATTATTTTTCTACGTAATGGAGTCGCTAACCTCATGCCCTATACTCCCCCCTTATCCGGGCTTGGGATCGACAGTAGCCCTAGAGGGGCTCCAGGTGGACCATATATTCTCTTCATCTTTGTGTCTTTATAGTGCTATCATATTGTATTTATTTTAATGACTTAGATATGCAAAATGTGGGCTTTTAAACGAAGAAATAAAGAGTTAAATTTCTGGAAACTGTACTTATCATTTAACTACATATGCATAGTCAAATATACATTGATCAACCTGATTTATAGATAAGTCTCAATAGTATAATTATATGGATAAGTAAATTGTGTCTTAAAGATATTGGAAAGTAGAAGATAACCTAATCACAATAAGGTAAAATTTTATGTGAAATATCGATGAGGAAATGCCAACAATCAGTTATAATTTACAAGACATAATACGAAATTATCTGAAACTAGCTTTATTACAGACTGATATAAGATACGGAAATAGGGGATACTGAATAGTCGTCTCGATATAGTTTGGGACTTTTCAACGGTGCGAACACACGACTACATAAGAAATGGAATTTTGGACCTACACGCCTAGTTAACAACGCTGGTATGATCGAATATGAGAGGATATAAGCTCCCATAGGTACAAACTTGCAAGTGACAAGTATATGATCTAATTATACTGAAAACTATCCATTCAAATCAGCAGATAGATCAGATGTGGAACACATGTGAAACAAAACAACGGAATTACATTGTTGCATAATCATTTATTATAATTACCAGATGTATGAATCAAGATTATTAGGATGTGGAGGTATAACAAAAACAAAACTTACTGTCAAATCATACTGAGTGCAGCCTTTCACAACAGGCCAGTAGTATCCATCTCCTAAGACTTTACCAGACCACAAAAAAATCTGTTGGGATAAAAATTTGAATCATAACAATAACATGCTCAAAATAAAAAAAATGGCCAAGAAGCAGGACAAAGTAGAATGTAAATCTTGATTGTATTTAGCAATAAAGTCCAGATCTGGTATAAAAAACTACTGTATCAAATGTCTGATGATGGTTGTAAGTAAAGCATAAATGATATGATGATCGATTAATAAACGCAAAAAATTCCCATGTCTATTAGTATCTTATTTTTAAAAAATCATCTTTCATTAAATAATTCCATGTCCATTATTTTAGTTTTTGTAGTTTTATTTTTGGCACTGAACTCTTCATGTAGAACAAAAAATGACGAATTGACATGAAAATGAGTTAGTTTACTGCTTAAACACCGTACTTTCTACACTTTTGATAACAATTACATTCATTGGTATTAAGAAAGTCATAAACAGATTCAAATAGTTTTTTTTTCTAATTAATACAAAGAAAATATCCGTGAACAATTTCAAATTATAAAACGTAAGAAAATATTTCAGGGATTCACTGATTTACATTTCATACATTATTAGTAAAAAAGTAGTGACCTAAAATTAAATAGGGATCAGATCATAATCAGTTTATCATGACAGTGAATTTGTGCAACAACGAGATTAAACCTACTTTTCTTCCTAATACATCAAGTATTTGCGAAACAAAATCATATTTGATGAGACGAAGTATGCACATACCAAAAAAATGTCTAGCTACGTAATAGAAATTATTCACAGGGAAATTCTCAACCAGAAAAGTTAGGAATTCCTATTTCATCTTCAAGTTAAGTAGAAAAAAGATAATCACACAGCACTAACAATGGATGGATCTAAGTAAAGAGCTTAAATTGAAGGAAAACTATCACATTTCAGTTGTATATCCCTTTATTTTCTTTTACAGGATAAATTATAATTATTTTTATCCATTATTCAAGTTACTGTATTCAGATACTTAGATTTGTTTGTACCAACCTTTAATAAAAAGTGGATTAGTCCGGAGAAAATCGATATACATATATACGCTAAGAAACAAATGTTCCTTTAAACTTACACCACAAATAAATTGATAAGAAAATGAAAATGGTTATTAGTAAACACATCTTTGAAATTTAAGTTGCCTGTAAGTGACGTTGGCATGATACAAGTCTAGTAGGAAAATTAAATTCAGGTGCACTAAATTACAGTAACGTGATAAATCCCTTCACCTTATTATATTTAAATCCTTTATTGGAACTTGATACTAGCGAATAAAATAATCTGCAAAAATAAAAAGTTTTAAATCAATTTGGAATATGTACCAACCTGCTGAAAATTTACGAGCTTTCCAAGGTCATATGGGTAGCGAAATGGTTTTTTTTCCCCTATATCCTTTCGCCAAACGTTTGCCTTCAAAAATAATAAGACTAAATAGATTAAGATAGTCACAGTGATGAAACTTCACATATAGATAAGTTACTGATATGTGTAAAAGTAATTCAATCTGTCTTTTGGTATTGTGAATTGTACATTTAAATGCTACAATAAGCAGAAACAAGATTAACGTTTGAAAGAAATACATTTCGAAATAAGAAGTGTAAATGACTAACATCGACTTTAAAATTATACCAATTGTCTTTACTTCAACCACATTTAACCATTCAGTTTCCCAAAGTAAGAGTCGAAATAGTATTCAGATTAACTACACTACTGCCTAATGTGAAACACCAAAGTAGTATATTGATAAAGCCATGACTCAGGTGTTTTGTTCATTTGTATGCCTGACTAATACTCAGGAGTCATATGATCCATATTCACTTTAGATACTACAATCCATAGCTTAGTTGAACTTCAGAAACACGTATCAGTAGCTGAATCAGATCACAGACGACCACAAACTTAACATGTAGGGTCTTTCTGAGAACCCTTGGGCTAAGCAAACTACACCCTTTGCAGCTTTGATAGGACCGAAAAACCGGTTGGAAGAGCTTATAAAAGTCATAAAAAGAAATCTAAGAAATAAGAATACGATTGTGGTAAAGGACATAAACTAGGATGCTGTTAGGCATGCACATGCAATCTACACTAATACCTGTGTAGCTCACATTATTTCTTTACACGGAACATGAATAAAGAGGCTGAATTCATGCTGATAACATCGTCGATTGACGGACGAAACTGCAGAGTCAAGGAGGAAAATAGTTGGGATCGATCGCTAATTTTTGCTGCTCAGATTGTATTAGCTTCACTTCTTAACCCAGTAAAATAAACCAGAAATCCATGGAGAAAATAGGGTATTGGCTCTAAGGTCAACCGCCTTTTAATTATTTATCTGGCAGGGGACAATATCGCTGGAAACGTTGTTTGAGGGAACATTAATTCCTAGTTTTATTTAATCACTTGATTCCCACTTCCCGTACAGTATTCCCTATTTTAGCCTTGGTATCACTGATACTATGATTATTCCAACTCCACTAATCATCTTGTCAATTTTATCTTGCTGTGCTGATGTGGTGTCTGAAGCTGACTATGAACGGGTTGACTACTATGCGGTACTGTGAGCACTATGACCTCACGTCCGAGTTGGAATTCACTGTTTTCTTCTCGTCACTTTTAAATCAACTTTTGCAAGAAGACCTAAAAAACTGTGCATTAAAAATCATAGCAAACAAGATTTTACAACAAGCTAATACCGCCCACTGCTTCAAGGTAGCAGTTATAGTCAGGTAACCAGTATCTGGAGCCTGACCGTGTCAGCAAAAAGTTATCGGTAAACATAGATTTCCTTCAAAAAAAGGGAACCAAATTATTTCCCCACAGAATCAGGGAAACAGTAAACTTACCCAAAATACCTCTTGTGAAAGTGTGAAGTTATCTGGTCGACGGATAAACAGAACAGCTAAAAGTAGTTCAATTCGAAGAGATATATTATGTACGTCTGTATGACATATGGTCATCTTAGGAATAGATACGTGACAAACACGAAACTTGAAGATCAAAATAACTGCCACCATGTGTTTGAAAAAAATTAACAGAAACTCTAGACTTTGGTTCCGTACTTTTACAGTAAGAATACAACTGCACTTGTAGGTACCAAACTGCTACTAGTACGATGCACAAGAATAGGGTCTAACACTAAGGCCTTAATTGATTGGAGAATGAGTGAACTGAAAATGAGTTTCCTCCAGTTGCTCATGTCATTTTATTCTCTGCTAATATTTAATATATAACCCTGCCATTTAATTACAGAAAAAACTATTCTTCTGCTCAGTGGTCATGTCTTTAGACTTAAATCACTCGGCAGATTAAGGCAATTATTCATTTTCGTGAATAACTATCATTAGTCTACATTTTGTATCGTTGAGAATCAGATACTGATCAGAATTCTTTCGTCAACTCTAACAATCGAGAATTCGCCTTTTTAATAAAACCCTTCTCTGCAACAACTACAAATGTTGAACACGATTGTACGAACTTGTAGAAAATAAGAACTAAGTATTTCCTTTATAAATGACTTACTTTCGCTACGATCCATGATTCTATTCCCGTTGATTCCTCGAAACAGCTTTCAACTGGAAAATTGCTAAAATCCCAACAGACAGTGCAACACCCACAGCTAAACCCAAAGCAAATAATGTTATCATTAGATCAGCTATGACGAACAAAACGCTTGATTGAAATCTTCGCAAAAGTAAACTAGGAAACTGAAATCAAACGAAAATGCTTACATTTTATGAAGACCAGCATTATTAACATAAATTTAGTACTCATGGATTTTCGTGCAAATCAAATCATACGTAAAAAGAACTGTAATCACCCGTGGGCATGGGCCTTTTTCCACCAAAATTGTTCACAGATCTTGAAAAATCATGAACACAACTTCGTGATTAGAAAAAAACAATGTCACCACAAAATTTCACAAAAGTCACGAAATCTCGTAACACGATAGATCATTCTACCAATTAAGTTAGAAATACTGCTACTACGAAAAGTTCCACATCATATCTATATCCCCACAAGAGATTAATACATAACTTAGCGAGTGATTTATATACAGAAACATAAAACAATTGCCATACAGGTGTTCAGCCTTAGACTGTAAATGCAACACTAACTGTAGAAACCCGCCTTGATGATATATCTGGAATTCTAGTCTGATGGAAACAATGATTGCTTGAAACAATATCTCTTCAAGAACCATCTTTATCTAATCTAAACCCATTTTAAAAATGAGGAAAATTATTGTAGAAGTTATCAACCAACACCGTCATTTCAAACGTGAGTTGGGACACATAATACTCGCAATAGCCACCACTGGTATCACAATATGAAAGACGGATGCTTCACTTGGTATATTTGATTAAATTATGGTCAAAAATTCACCCGATATCGGTTGGCTTGACAGTAACTGTTTTAACTTGTAATTTAAGAAACTAGTTGAACATTTATGTAACCCAAACATCGGAAATTCGCAGTACATAATTTCGGTAACTGTAGTTTGCCTAGATAGACAGTTTTATCATGATATTACGGGCAATGTCATCAGTGCACCTTTCAAAGGTCAAGTTCTGGTAGAACATTCCACCTGGTAGCGTGTTACTGTCCACCAAGATAGTGAAAGCTTTGTGAATAAATCACGGATCCCAGGGAATGCGGCAATATTAAGATTTCTTGAATCATGAAACTAAAACTCACTTTCTAAAGTTGTATATGCTGATAAGCTTCAAGAACACGTGAACACAGAGACCTATAAACAAAATTTTACAAATGTTGACGAATCTATAAAGTTAGATCTGAGCACCTGTTTCAGTCAGCTTCTGGAAGCACAAATACTTATGAAAAACTGGAGATCTAATTAAGGTTTCTTTTATAATCCATAAAGACCGTGAGTGCTAAAAACATCAATAAGCATTATTACTCGAGAGCTACTTATTTAAAAAATCTTAGTCGTTGAACAATTTTTTGCCAACAAAAATAAAAGTTGTAGTATCACAGATAACGAAACTGGATCGATGAAAATACCTTGTGGGAATTCCATTCATATTTTTGTTAAACTTCGTTTTGTATTCAACCGAGTCATGCATGTAAAATCTACACCGATCATCTAAATGTGATGAATGTTATCAAGGCCATGAAAAATCTGGAAAAGGAATAGGGAATAGGTCAATAAAGACTGTTTTGACGAGCGATCGTCACGAATTATATGTAACCCTTTTAGAGTGATATTACTCATCAATTGATTCAGTTAACGAAAGATAGAAACACTCATTAGACCACAGAGAAATTATTTAAACTGCTGTAAACACTTGGGACTGTTGTCGATCTCTTACGGTAATGAGTTTACAAGCAGAGAAAAACCTTAAAAGGGATGGAGTCATAGGTTAATTTCTCTAATCCGACGGGTAAATGGCACCAATTAAAACGAAATTAATGTCGTTTACAGGGTGTATCGATCTGTGACCAGAGAAATAATAAAATAAACCAAAACTTACGATTGCTGGACTTTGATATATAGAAAGCGATAGTGATATACAAGAGGTGATGCATCCGAATGGAGCAAACAACAAAAAGATCAAAAAGTATTTATGGTTAAGATGACCGCAACATGTATTTATCCAGGGACAATGGTGGTCCATTTTCATTATGCACCGGTTGCAAGCTCGACAATGATGGGCTCGTGGAGGCTTAAAACCTCTACAAACATTACAGAACTGAAGCTTCTGTTCAGCTGAAGGGTCACACTAAAAAACGAAAATCAGCAAAAAAATAAGTTACAGGATGTGTAGAAACAATGTACAAGAACCTAGAATGCTTACGAACTTCTGTCTCCCAGATCCAACAGTAACAATGATTGGAAAACCATGTCCTACCCCACAACTATGGTTGCAATAGCAAACCTGTTTATCCTAATATTTTCTTAATTTGATGTAGGCTCAAATTATCACAACTACAAACACAATGCAACAAAATCCATACTAAGTACAACAGTTATCAAGCCAACGGATTTACATTTATCTATCTTTTTAAAACATAAAGACTGGTGGGAATGGGGACTAAAATAAATATGCGCTAAACGATTAAATGAAACTGTGAAGAGATGGAGGACGGCTGTGGAGTACAATCAAAACAAATGAACAAGAATATTTCAAAACATGATACCTACTAAAAAGATATAACTAGTAAAAATTCTTCCAGCCAAAGGAGCCCCCTATACTTTTATAAAGAACACGGAAGAAAATTATAGATGGATCATTTCTATCCTCAGTTATATCTGATAATGTCTCGAGCCAATGAACTGCACCATTTCTAGGACCACAACCGGGGAGTCGTGACGGACCGAAAGATGTCCTCAACAGACGATTCCGGAAAACAGACCTGTCTAACAGACCGAAAACGGGCCTGATACCAAAAATTACAGTGGTTGACCTGCAATAAGGCGGTTTTCCTAGCATTTGGGGGAGTATAAATATATAAGTACTACACCAGGACAAAAGACAGTCTCCTCCTCGAGAGTCGGTTCTCCACGGACTTTGAACAACCTAAGAATTACGATAGACGTCAATAGTTTAGACGCAATTGAAGTAAGATTTATCCACCTATAATTGTTGCATAGATTACGTAGAGTCTTTTTAAAGATGGGACGACTGTCGTCTTAGCCCAGGATATTAGAACATTATATTTCCCAAACTCTAAAACGGAGGTCAGATAAGTTTTATTTGTCTTGTTTATCAAGAGTATAAAATAGAAGCTACTAAATGATAACTACATGTTATTATTCATGATTGTCTTGTTAAAACACTTGAGAATCTCACCATGATACTAATTTATCAAACAAAAGCAATTAAATAAGTATCTACTTGCCGCCTATTTGGTGGCACTTACATCAACAAGAATGCACTGGAGGATCGTCTATTCATTCCAACTTGGTTCTATACATACGTCCGAGAAACTTTTAGAACTTGTTGTCTGGTATTCATATACAATAAGAGTAAAATCCTGATTTCCTCACACGTCCAGTGAGTAATGATGCTAGGATGCTGAGTAAAAACTTCAGGAACAAATTATACATCCAAGATGCCCCATGAATGCCCTGGTACGGCCGAGAGTGGGGAGAGTCCGCTCTCCCTCTCGAAATACTCTCACACGGCCACGCGTATACAGCCTCTGCCAGGGAAGTCCTACTCATTGCCTTCTCGCACTATGGGTGTTGTTTACGAAAATGAGAGGACGAAAAGCGAATGTCCGGCCGAGAGTGGGGAGAGTCAACTCTCCCTCTCGAAATGCTTTTAGACCTTTAAGTCAAAGGCTCGGGATGTGGCCCCCTAAGAAAACCACCTGCCTGGGTTTGGGCGCTCGGGCAGTATCACAGCCCTCACACAAATCGAATGGTTTATGTGGCGCATATCGATTAGCTGCCTTCTTGCACCTATGCTTATATGTTTAAATAAATGATAAGACTGAATGGATAATGAGCGACGTATAAGCTAATTTTCTTTAGTTGCTTATGATATTTGATTATGCCTATTTTATATTTATATTTTGTATATAAGCACATCATTTTATGACACGATTTTATCCATCTGACTAGTCGTCTTGTCTTTGATTTAGAATTGTTCGGTGGCTTAGGTCAATAATACGCTCTCATGAGTACCTATTAATCAGCCACATCATATCATTGTGTTTACTTATCGATAATTATCCTAATAATTGATTTTACCGATTAAAAATCTCGTCCAACCAAACTATCGGAAATCTCTAGAACTTTTAGGTACCGTGATAAGTTTGAAAGTAGAAGACAGGAATATGAAATATAAGGAAGTGGAGTAGCTTTGTTGTGAATAAGATTATCTTGAGTCTTAACAGATGCATTAAGGTTGTCTTCCCTTCTCAGTTTCCTACACTGTGGGAGGATACTTTCTGTTGCACCTGAAAGTAAACTGAGTCTGGGACAGTTCTAACACCCAAACACTGGGGTGAGTTAGTAGCTATTGACTCTAAAACCGAACGTAAACGTCATGAAATGTACCGGTGAAGATCTATATCCCCCAACTATTTAATTAGAAAGGGATATTGACACCACTTGCACTACTGAGCTGTGTTAAGGTTGAGATCGATTGTTTAGACATATATTTATGCTCAACCACAGAAATAAGATCCATATTGAACGAAAACTTTAGTGGCTCATTTACTAGTATAAGTGACAGAATCACATAACTAACTTGATCAGACAAGCTTTTGGAATATTTACACTGATTTACAAAATAAAAACAACTAGATTGACATATCAGCCAACAAGACTATTATCTACATTATTCGCGAGGCGTTTTCAAATCTTCTAATTGAAGTAAAAAGCAGACCTGATGTACACACTTTTCCTTAAGTCACTACACATATCATTGTCATAAAGAATACATTTATATAAGGGGTGAAAATGAGTGAGAAATCAGTATCATTCGTCAAACAATGAAACTTTATGTCTGGCTGTCAGGTACATTTCAACCTTAAATCTCCACATTTTATGCATTACTAGTACTTCCATAGTGATTTTTACCTTCTTACAGCTCCAATGATAACTACAAGCAATTGGTTCCCTTTGGAAGCTATCTTGACACCCGAGCTCCCAATTTCGGGGAAAATTTGACACATTTTGGGGGAGCCGCTATAGTAAACTTTGGGGGAATGGTACCAAAACCCCGAAATTTGACTTTGGAGGTTTCCCCAAAATTTCCCCAAACTTGGGAGATTGGGACACCGCTTCCCGAAGTTTATTTTACCGCTAAACAAAGGAAAAACAGATGAAACGTCGACTTACCGGCCTCCAACCAAGAGGAACAAATCCTGGGCCAACAAATACAGTACAAAGGTAAGACTTCAGAGTCATATAAAAGAAACTAAATATGCACGTAGAAAGAACAGACCAAGAAGTGATGAACAGGGAGGGGCGACATGTAAGGTACTGTATAAACTCGTGAGCGTAATAAAAAATATGATCCAGATTGTAGAGATTGGACCCCAGTGAAATAAACGCTTCAGTTTGTCACGAAAGACAGAACAGACCGACTCATTCATCATGCTTAGTTGAAAATTGCGCCAGATCTATGTCTAGATTGCGATTGGTTCATTTTTCAGATGTTTCAAATGGTTGTGGATAGAATAGAATCTTTCCCTTAGCAAGCTTCCGTATCTAGTAACAGCGAAACACTGACCCCTTCATGTAGGAATCTTGGTATATTTGATGATTGACGCAGAAATATTATTAAATAGTAGTGAAATACTGTTGTAGCAGTAAATAAATCCCAAAAATCATTAGCTCTGTAAGTCTTCGACGTTTGATGCTGACCGCAATAAGTTTCCTGAACTCACCTCACTGAAAGCGCTGCAAGCGTTTTACGAACGGGAAGTCCAGTCCTAACGTAATTAACATTTCTCAAACTTTTGCTGCGTCCTTACGCAACAAAAGTACCATTTCTGATCTAAAGAATCTGTCCTGAGCTTTAAGTTCAGTAGATTACTTTCCTTTTTGGGTTTTACCCAACTTTACAGTTAACTGTGGCTTTGTCTCAGCTTACTATTCGGTTTTACAGTCTTTCATATCAAGGCTAGTTTCAGTTTATCCTAACCGTCTGTAACACCCGTTTTTATCCATTTCCATCAGTTTTTGGTGTACCGTTTTTTTGTTTTACGGTCGTAGACTTTCGCTAGGATCTACATAACAAGTTGTATCACTGTAGTCATGAAGGATTCATGCAAGCGACCCGGTTGCTGTTTTGCTGTTACATCTGACATGCATTGTGACAATTGCAAAGCTTGGTTCCACGAAGCGTGCACAGACCTTACAATAACTGTTTACAACAGACTCAATAAGTCGGATCATAGGTAGGTATGTGTCACGTGCAACACGAATACTGAGGTTTTGCTGAGCAGCATCATCATTCTCTTGATAGTTTTGCGGAATAAGTTGTCAGCAAACCTGAAAAAAGGCAGTCCTAAAACGGGTATACAAACAAAGACACGCAATGAAAACATGAAGAGGGATCTCAACAGCGCTACTATTTATCTTATAGAATAGGCAGTTACATCATGATAAACCTATAATTTTAAAATTAAGATTATTATTGGAGTAGTTCTAATATCGAAGTAGACCATAATTATACAAGTTAAACAAGAAGTTCGAACTTCTCAAAATAGTATCTGACGGTCATATGGCTTACTCAAAGAAAGGACTCTAAGCATCAAAATCACCCAAGACTACTTAGTGTATCACTCAGTAACGCTACCGACGTAGAGTGCATCCTAGATGCTAGTCACTTACCGAAATCAGGTGGGAAGGCAAGAATATTGCCTCACCCGGAACATCCCCAAAGAACCTCGTGAAAAGTCTTTCCGCAGAAAGAATATCACTGTGCAATGTGTACCAAAAAACACGGACCTAGACCACACTAATTCTAATATTCGGGAGTGGAAATACATCAAGCAGTTTTTGGAGCTCAAAAACATATGGACTCAACAAGTGGTGAGACTAGTCAAGAAGGACGGAGATTCTAGACCTCGGCTGATGATGGTAACCTTCACATCCTCCCATATGGCGGCTGCAACTCTAGAAACATCTATTATCCATAGATGCCGGTTGCTAACTGGAATCCATATGCATCCGCACAGGCCACATGACGCCAGGATCGGGCACAAAGGCAAGTTGGAGCTGACCATTCCAATTGTGGACTGTCTAGATCGTAAATAAGTGTAGAAAGGACAGTGATAACAACTCGAAAAACCTTGTTTAGGTAGGCTACCTGTGCATTCACATAAAGCTCATACAGACAAACAGAACGGTGAAGCTCATACGTTTCAAATTGAAGTCATAAACTGCTTATACATGAACATCGCGAGTTTACCGAACAAAATGGATGAGCTACGTGAACTCAGCATTGTTAATAACGCTCATCTAACAAGAATAGGTGAAACTGGATATCTTCTCACTTTACCGACCACGTGCTAGCAATACACGTAATGTATTTGTTTCGCAATAACAGAAAAACAGGAGTCGGGTGTGGAGTAGCCATATAATTACGATCTTGCATGGAGGTAATATCAAGTGCACAACTAAGAGTTTATCAATCTCGGTGAATCGGTATGGCGCTCAGTAAGACTGTCTACCACCTCGAGATGTCTCGTTGGAGCCATCGACAGGAAACCCACTGCTGACATCGAGCACGACATTCGCATGCTAAAGGACTACCCCAATCTACTCGCCTCAGATTCACTCGTGTATTGATCCTAGGGGCCTTTAATCTTCCTAAAGTCAAGTTCACGGGACATACGTACATTGAAAGTGAAAACTCTGCCGAAACTCGGTTCTTCAACCTCATTGAGAATCTAGGATTATTCAAAAATGTTGAGTCGTCAACTTGTTGGAGAAACAGCCATATGCCATCGCTCTTAGACTGGGTATTTACTTACGAAGAATTCCTAATTGATATTCTCTCAATCCTGGCCCCTTGAAGAAGAGCGATCATGCCGCCATAGCCTTTACTTTTATCAGCAAAACTGAGCTAAAGCATCCCACCAACAGCAGGCGCTGGAATTTCAAATAGTTGAATGTGCCAGCTTTACAGGACAATCTATAGCAGGTGGATTGATAAGTTCACCCCCAACTTGACGTGAATACTCATTGGGAGTTCTTACTGTACACGATCTCATGTGCTACGAGTCAGTCTGGTCCTCAAATGGTCCCCAAAGTCTACAAGCAAACTACAGTCATCAAGAACCGTACTCTTCGTTTGCTAAACCTCAAAATACACTGTTGGGTGGAATACAAACGAACCGGTATCAACGACGTATAGAGGTAATACAAATAAGTAAAGAACACATGCAAAAAGGCAATACGAGAAGACAGGCTTAAGTACTAGATGAAGCTTGTCGATAAATTTGTCTCTAATCTGAAAAGCTTATTTCCTTATGTAGCCTCTCTTCGGCAAGTCAAAACTGGGGTTTCCTAAATGGTGAATCCTAATGGCCCAACCAACAACGAGGATGGAGCTGCTAATCTTCTGGCTGAACAGTACTGTCGGACATGTCAACCAACTTTACTGATGAAAGCTTCATCTGTAACTGTACAGGACTTTCCGAAGCGAACTTGGGTGCTGACTTGATATACCGGAAACTGCAGCACCTAAAAATGTCACATCTCATGGTCCGGATATGGCTCATTATGCTATACTAAGGGAAGCAGCTTCACTGCTGTCAAAACCGCTTAGAACGATTTTCTCACACTAGCTAAGCTGAGGCACATTGCCAAAAAATTTGAGGCTGGCCCACATCACACCAATTTTCAAAGGAGGCCGGCGCAGCGAAACGTCAAGCTACAGACCAGGTGGCTCTTCTCTGTCTATATCTTCAAAAATTACGGAGCCCCTGATATGCGATGGTTTACACGACTATTTGCTATCCTTAAACGTCTTTTCACCCCAACAGCAAGGTTTCAGGAAGGTCGTTCTTGTAGAACCAACCTACTGACTGGTGGAGAGAAGGAAAACAATCCTTGATTGCAAGATGAAGGTTGACGTAATTTACCTTGACTTCTCAAAATCTTTTGACAAGGTCAATTATACATGTCTTATCAGTAGGCTAGAACGAATAGGTATCAAATCACCTCTAAATCATTGGTTCACTTCATATCTTAAAAAACCGACATTTTGTGGTCAGGGTTAACGTCGATTTCTCTCAGACTGTGGAATGTTCTAGTGTGTTCCCCCAGGGTTCAATACTAGGACCTCTCCACTTCTTGATTTATATAAACGGCCTTCCACAACAGGTATCATCAGACTTATTACTTTTTGCCGATGATGTGAAACTTTGGAGAGAGGCACTCAACCAAGAGGATATACCGGCACTTCAGGAGGACCCGACTCGCCTTCAAAGTTAGGCAGATGACAACGGACCTACCTTTAAGACCCCAAAGTATAAAATGAACCATCTGAGACATGTTGCGGACTGCAGCTACAACTTAGACAACTCCCCTCTAGAAGTATCCCAAGTTGAAAAAGATTTAGGAGTACTGGTACCCTGCGGTTTGAAGTTTTACTATAAATGTGACATAAATGCCTTTCAAACAAACCTTGCACTGGTAACAGTGAAGTGCATTTTCGGCCAGTTTGAAGGAAGAACTTTCCACATAATCTTCAACAGTTTCGTTCGTCCGCATTTAGAGTACGGAGACATAGTATTTCCTCCCTCACTCCAAAAGGATAAGGGCACTCTGGAGCGTATCCAACGGCGAGCCAAGAATTCAGTTCGGGGACTCAAATTCAAGCCTTATGAAAAGCGCCACCAATCACTCAACCTTCACCTACTAGAGTACAGACGTCTTAGATGTGACCATCTAATGGCTTACAGCATCATAGATACTACTTGACATCCTCTTAAACATCTACTTAAGTTTAGCTCCAACACAAATCTAAAGGGTAACACCTAGAAAGTGGAGACACAACACGACAGAACGAACTGTATTCACAACATCTACTCCTTAAAAGTAGTCAAATGCTAAAATTCGATACTGGCTGAGCTAGTAAATGCGACCTCCCAGGATTCCTTTAAGAGAAAAGTTGACATATACTTAATGACTGATGATAGTATCTTACTATGATTTAGTAGGTTCTTTTTCTTCTGTTATCGTTAATATACATAGGTTCCTGCCTGGAGGTATTGATGATCCACGGGTAATAGATGCATAAGCCCGCTGGGCGAAAAAT